ACTGGCCTGTCACGCTGGAGCACATGTGTCCGTCACTGTGACGGGGGCCAGCGCATTCTTGTTACTTCCCAGGCAATGTGTGCATTTAGATTGGAATTTTCTGACAAAGACTCGTGCTAAAAGAATACAACAGAAGACATCTAATTAATTACCTTGCCTATCAGCAAGCCCCTGTCCACCAATGCCTGGCACAAGTTCTTTCTTGCCACATGCACCAAAAGTGAGAGAAAGAACCACTGATAGGTCAGGAGGCAGGGTTCTGTCCTGGCTGCACCAACCAATAGATCTGGACCAGGTCATCTGTCCTTCCTGGGCCTCTGCTGGCCCAGCCAACACATTAAAATCCTCATCATTGCCACCACCATCATCACCACCGATATTCACCTTCCATGTTTTGTTTTTAAATATTTTATTTATTTATTTATTTATTTGAGAGAGAGAGAGAGCATGAGTGGGTGAAGGGCAGAGGGAGGAAGCAGGCTCCCCACTGAGCAGGGAGCCCGATGTGGGACTTGATCCCGACACTCTGGGATCATGCCCTGAGCTGAAGGCAGACGCTTAACCGACTGAGCCACCCAGGTGCCCTTTCAACTTCCATGTTCAGACAGGAGGTAACAGTAAGAAATAGGCAAACATGGAGCTTGCAGCCCAGAGACTCTTTCTTCATAGGGTAAAAGGGTCAGTGGATTTTGAATTCCCTCTTAAGTGGAATCCCCCCCTTTTTTTTTTACATCAGCACAAACTCCTATAGAAAAGTTTAGCTTAGGATGGAGTGCAGAGATGAAGGTTCAGGGTCAAGTCTCCCTACTCCCTACTCCGGCTCTCTTCCTGAACCCTTGGGAACCCCTGTGAGGTCTCCCATTTGGTTCGATGAGTCCCAGGACCACACAGAAAAAAAAAAATTGCTTCTGCCTGGAAGCCTTTCCCCTCCCCCTACCTCCAAGGTGTAGACCACTGCAGGGTGAAGCCGTTAAGTGCCTTGTGCAATTTCTCAGACCGTAAAGTTTCCAGAAGCTCTCCTCAACCCAGCCTCTTTATTTTAAACATATTCTGTTTTGTTGAGACCTTCTAAGATGGCGGGTAGTATGGGGCGCAGACCGGACACCCCCCCTTGGCCTGGATGGTAATTGATCAGAAGTTGACAAGCAGAATGCGTAGCAGACCTTGACTTTAACCTCAGCAGTTCTGTGACAATTCAGTGACATGGGTTCACAGGCGAAAGCAACCAGTGCACAGATTAAAATACCTATAAAAATATAGGATTATTTTCAATAAGCATCCATACCAGTATCTTTTTATTTCTTATGGCTGGTTCTCCTCTGGAGTCATGGGCTTGGAAGGTACTTATAAGGATTGCTGATAATCTTATGCTCTTACAAGATTGCTTCTTTAGATTCTTCACCATTTTTTCCCCCACATGGTGATAAAGGGTATAATCGTCGTTGATACAGCAGTGATGGGTCACGCCTGCTGCCTGCTTATTTCTCATTAAAAAAAAAACAAACATTGGCTCAGAAAACCCAGTGCTTTCTGTTAAGGCAGAAACCAGCACTGAGATTAGCTATTGTAATAGTCAGAGTCTGGCAGGAGCCTGAGGCTCGTCCCAAGAGAGGGAGTCTAATAAAGGGACTATTTGCAAAGATATGGGCCCTGTGTAGGGAAGCACCAGGGACGATACAGCACCCAGGGGCTCGTAGTCATGCGTGGGAGCATATAGGGAGGGCTGCCAGGCAGGAGAAGCTCTGGCTTTTGGTTGAGGGCTGGAGCCAATGCCAGGAGAAGCAGTAGGGAGAATTCTTTTTTTTTTTTTTTTAAAGATTTTATTTATTTATTTGACAGAGAGAGGCACAGCGAGAGAGGGAACACAAGCGGGGAGAGGGAGAGGGAGAAGCAGGCTTCCCGCCGAGCAGGGAGCCCGATGCGGGGCTCGATCCCAGGACCCTGGGATCATGACCGGAGCCGAAGGCAGACGCTTAACGACTGAGTCACCCAGGCGCCCCAGTAGGGAGAATTCTAAGAGAATAAATACTCCAGCTTCCTCTCTTCCTTCCTCCCCTCCAGTGGCCATCTGAGTTCCCTAGTGGCCACACCCAAGGGGAAGTCACGGGGCAGGGAGCCCATGGATGTGGCCTGTCTAGATCAGCCTTCGGGGCACACAGCAGGGTGGACAGCATGAAGTGGAGAAGGAATGGAGAGAAGACGTCTCGAAGTAAATGCCTCTTTAGTCTGGGGTGAGGGGAGAGTCCTTTCAGAAGGGGACAGATTTAAATGCTCACTTCAGCCATGGGGGTCACACACATGGAATCGGCAAGGGTAACTAGTGGTCACGAATGAACACCAGCACGTGTTTTCATTAGTGATCTTCTCCTATAAAGACTTTCCTGGGCTGGGTTCCATTAAAGATTGTTGTTCAGTCAAATGAAGTATGTCAGAGAGAACTTGTTTCCTGCAGAGCTCAAGGCAAGTTGCCTTAGGATTATGAAGATGTTAGGTTGCCTGGACACCCTCTAGGACCTGTGAGCACAGCCTCTTTTAATCCAGAGTCCTGGAATCCTGGGGTGGGAAATGGGCCTGAAGCACTCCCCAACACAACATGCCCCAAATCCCACCCCTGCTGCAGCCAGGCTTTGCCATTCCTCCCAGCCTGTGGCCATGAGGAAACTTGTTCCGAGTATAACTAAGCCTCTCTATTATGACACACCATTTACAACTCAATGGCTTGGGCCACAGGTGTCTTCAGGTGTTTTTTTTTTTTTCTTTCAATCAACATTCTAGAAGATTTAACCTTATTCCCTGGAACCCGTCTGCTTCTGAGGTTGCCTTGTCTACCACATCCTTAGCTTCTCTGGCTTCACTGGAACCAGTGTCCTTAGCCTGGGTCCTGTGTACCAGGAGTTCAAGGGAGTGGTTGTCCAGGCCTGAGGTCTAGATGATACCGTGAATTCTCAGGTATTGGGCTAAAATTTGAGTCAGTGCTTGTTCATTCGGAGAAGCAGAAGTGGAAGTTCTATAGTCTTTATAAAAGATTCTCAGAAATAAGCCTCAGGACTCCTGCTTTAACCACAAGTGCACCCTTTCCAGTGTATATAATCATCAAGTATCTAAGCTGGACCAGGCCTCAGCTCACTGGCCCAAACTCCATTAGTTCACAGATGGGGAAACTGAGATCCCAGGTAGGGAAGGGGGGAGGGGTCAGGCCACCCAGCGAGGCCTCTAGGATTTGGTTGCCTTTTCTCTCCGTCTCTTATTCTATCCACAACCCTTGCCCAGCAGAGCCATAGAAAGACTCAGGACTCTAGCAGGATTAGAGTTTGATCTACTCATGTGGACCGCTTCAGTTCACAAAGTGGTGTTTTTAAGTAGTTGGTTAAAAGCTGCATCAACACTTTGTATATGGATCCCCGAGAAGATTCAGGGTCACTCACCAAAGACACTTTTGTCCTATTGTGGGTTTTTTTTTTTTTTTACTGGCACCATAGCAAGTGGTTACAAACTTCGTGTCTTAAACCAACACAGATTTTATTATCTTATAGTTCTGTCGATTAGAAGCCCAAGGAGGATCTCCCTGGCCTAATTAAGGTGTCAGAAGGGCTGTGTTCCTTCTGGAGCCTCTAGGGGGAGAATGCATTTCCTTCCCTTTTCCCATTGGTGGAGGGTACTAACACACCTTGGCTTGTGATACTTTCATCATCAGAGCCAGCCACAGGGACCTAAGGATCTTGGGATCGAGGATTAGGACATTGACATCTCTGGGGGTTGCTATTCTTCCTCTCGTAGGGTCATTCACAAAAGCTGCTTTCGTGACACTGGAGAAGTCACAGCAGACTTTTCTTTAAAAGCCTAGAGAGTAAGTATGTTAGGCTTTGGGGGCCCTCTGATCTTTCTTGCCACTACTCTGCTATTGTAGAGCAAAAACCGTCATGGGCAAAATGGAAATGAGTCAGTGTGGCTGTGTTTTAATAAAACTTTATTTATAAAAGAAACATCTGTAGGTTGGATTTGGTCAATGACTGAAGTTCATTGAATTCACAAAGCATTGTCTGAGAGAATTTCTGGTCTGGCCTGAGCCCTGGGGCCAAAGGGATGAATAAGACATGTTCTTGGTTCATGAGGGGTTTTTGCGGTCCTGGTGGAGGCAGACAGGTGTGAGTAGAAGCCCCCAGACTGACTGGCCCTTGAGGGTAGGGACCAAGGAGCCAGAGGTACATCCCTCAGAGAAGCGACCGGGTTTTCTAAGGAAAGAATTTCCCAGATCCCACACAAAGAATAAAGCTGGGAGGCCCTGGCCTGTGAACCCAGGGTTTAAATAGGGTCTCAGATATCTGGGGTCATGGTTTGGCTGTCTACACCTGCACACTGGGCAACCACCTTCTGGTTACGAGCATGAGGTTAATAGCTCTTACAGATCTGGGACTCAGTGCTGCGTGACCTTGAACAAGGGTGCCAGTTTCCTTATTCACTAAATGGACCTAGGCGGGATGGTTAGATGAGATCGCATGGAAAGCATACTTGTTGAATGAAGGGATCCTCCCTCCAGAATAGGTACTCCTGTAATTAGTCTCGGAGTTTCCCAGAATGCCCTGGAAAGCTGGCCTCCTGCCCTCTTGTCTGATTCACAAGCACTCACAAAGAACATAAAACAAACGCATTTCCATTGACAGTAATGATGCTGTTAATAATAGCAGTACCAGTTGTCCTAAAGCAAGAGCAGTGATAATGGTTGTTGCCTTTTAAGCAACACTATTTATTTGTCAAGAACCATGCCGAGATCTTGATAGGGGTTATCTCACTTCACAGGAAGCATCTGCTCCACCATTCAGGCCCGTTCGTAACCACATTTTACAAAGGAGCACGGGAGGGTTGGAGAAGGCAAGCGACTTGCCTGAGCTCACACAGCGGCAAAGGAAGTGGGACTCAAACCCAAGTTGGTCTGACACCAAAGACCACATTCTTCCCCTGGTAGCACAAGGATGACAGGCTCTTTCTTGTGTCTCCTTTAGTGTCCAGACGGCAGTGGACTGCAGCAGTGGCAGAAAAGAGACGTAAGTTAACCCCGAGGAGAACGCTGAGCAGTTGACATTGAAGTCAAGAACCAGCCCTTGGCTCTGTGTCCAGTCTGCAGAGGGAACATCCACACCCACTTGGAGAATTACTAGCAATGCCCATGATTGCTTGGACTCCATGGTCATAGCACATGGCACTGGGGACATGTTATTGAATGGTGCAACTTCTTTTAGACAGAGAGAAGCCCATGACTTATCATGCCACCATCCCCCTCAAATACCTTCAGTGGTTCCCTATTGCCTCAGAGCAGACTTTTTAGACTGACATTTGAGCCCCACACATATCTGACTCTTACCTCCCTCTCTACCTGGGACTCCTACTTTTCATATCATCTGTGCCCTGCCCCTTTCCAACTCCATACCTATGTGTATGCTGTTCCTTCCAGCTCAAATTCCTTTCTCCAGGCCCTGCATGGTCAAGCCTTAACCTTCAAACACGTTGTGGCTCAACTATCATTACTTAATGCCTTCCCTTATGTCTCCAAGAAGCAAAGCAATGCTCCTTCCTTATTCTCCTCTACTTTCTGTCCCTTTCTATGGCATTGATAATTTTCTCCTTTATTTTGTGGTTATTTCTATAGATGCATACTCTGCTAAGACAGAGTCTTGAGGATAGGATCAATGTTGGGTTCATGTTTATAGCTCATTCCCATGGTTCCTGGCATAGAGTATTCTATAAACAAGCAAAGGAATTTATAGACAGACACAAATATGGATAGATATAGATACAGATATCAATATTGATATAGATATCAATAGATATAGTTGAATGAGTATAAACCTGCAAATAAAATAATCATTGAGTACCTACATCAATGACAGGCCCACACAAGGCCTAATTTCAGAATTAGGGGACATAAAAGTAAAGTCTCTGTCTACAAAGATGTTCTGGTTAAGGCAGGCAAAGAGTTAAGACCTTCACACTTGACATATTTCATGGACATATCATTTGGTATAAAATTCAGTGCCAAATTTTACTCTCAAATCAGAGTTGCCTCAACATCTGTATCAGAGTAGGCCAAAGGTTAGTAGCATGGGCATTGGAATCAGAGAGACCTGGGTTTGCATCCCAACTTCATGACTGACTAAGTGGGTGACCTTGGCAAGAACCAAGTTGGCCTCCTCAAATCCCATTACTCTCATCTATATAATGGGGACGGCACTGGCTTCCATCTCTCAGGGATGTTATTGTGAGCACTGATTGAGGTTATGCATGTATAGCACTTAGCACAAGCCTGGCTTATGCTTAGGGGTGAATATCTAGTTATTGCTGTTACTGTGGTTGTCATCGTGCTGATAGCATCCTGTCTTCTGGTTCTAGAGATAACATCTCCCTCCTCAGCTCCCAGCCAGAAGGCAGTCTGCAGTCCTGGTTGAGCTGTACTCTGTCCCTGGCCACAGATACTATGAGGACCCCTTCTCGACAGTCAGCCAGCAGCAGCCACATCCTCAGCTCCAGGTAAGAGTATGTCCCTGCTGCCTCTGGAATGCCGGTAGCTTGAAGAATCTCATACTTTGAAGGTTGTTGTTCACGTCTTCCATTTTCTCCAGCTAAGGCAAGGTCAAGCATGGCCTTGGACAGTGTGAGCTATGACCCTGCCACTTCTTAGCTGAACGACTTTAGACAGGTCAGTTGTCTTCTCTGAGCCTTCATTTCCTCATCTGTGCAGCAGGAAATATAATTCTGTTTACTGCTCTGAACAGTTGAAATGATGAGGCTCTAATGCAGCCCTCCCTAAAGCATGGTTCTCAAGATGATTTTTAAATAGCATGTGGTGAACATTTTTAAAATAACTATGGATTTATTATAGTTGCCTTCTATCTAAAGCAAGTCCTACTTGTCTCCCACTTATAGATTGTTCTGGATTTAAATGTTTCTTTTGTAAACATATTCACTTAGGCATTTCTGTATTTGGGGTTTTTTTTAATGGTGAATCAGTATCGAGACAGTTAGGCTGGATGATTTCTCCCTCAGAGGTTTTAGCTTTGTTCTGAATGTCAAGGTTTTATATTTTCCCCACCATGGAGGGAGATGGATTCAGTTACAGCCTGAGATGAAACTCTTGCAAATCTGTAGGATTGCCAACAATAGGTTCCTCTGACAACCGGGCCTTGGGATCCACTCTTAGTTTAGGATTTAAATCCATCTTCGCTCTTGTTTTTCAGCCAGCTTCATTTCTCTCAGCTCATTTCGTTTTCCTTTTCAAGGGTGGCCCTCTTGTAATTAGGAGCTAATGGCCATAAATCAGAAATTATGGATTAAGCAGATGCGTAATTAAGATGAAATGCACACTGCTTTTGTGATAACAGAAGAACCAATGTGATAAAGAAAAGTCCCAGACTCAAGGGGCAAACTCAGACAACCCCTTCCTGACTTGAAATGTGTTTGCTCTGAAGGGGCGGGGGGGTGGAAACATCTCTACAAAAAGAAGGGGGTGGAAGTTCACGCTAACCTTTTGGGCATATTCAGCAAATGGCAAATGTCTGACACATGCCTGCAGATAATCTTAGGCTGAAAAGTTTGATGTTGAAAATATCAAAGAGAGACTCCAAGAGTGGGGATGCATTGGGGAGTTAATTAAAGCAAGATGATCTGATTACTGCTCTTAATTAAAAACAAAGACCTGGGCGCCTGGGTGGCTCAGTTGGTTAAGCAACTGCCTTCGGCTCAGGTCATGATCCTGGAGTCCCTGGATCGAGTCCCGCATCGGGCTCCCTGCTCGGCAGGGAGTCTGCTTCTCCCTCTGACCCTCCCCCCTCTCATGTGCTCTCTCTCATTCTCTCTCTCTCAAATAAATAAATAAAATCTTTTAAAAACAAAAAAAAAACAAAGACCTCTATGGAGAAAGAGCCACCTCCTCTGTGAACCCCAAAGGATGAGGACTTTTTCTTTCCTGATAAATACATACCCCTGTTTTTCCCCATCAGCCAGTGTAGAGGCCGCAGAAACAGCACTGGGGGCGGCCATAGCAGGATGGGAATGCTCATTAACATAAAATCTGAGTTTCGTAATTAACAATTGGACAGGCATACCTCGCTGTATTGTGTTCACCGTAGTGTACGGACAGAGAGTGCGTTTCTTACAAATCGGAGGTTTGTCAAGCAAGTCGATCAGTGTCATTTATCCAACAGCATTTGCTCTGTCTTTCTGTGTCACATCTTGGTAATTCTTGCAATATTGCAAACTTTCTCCTTACTATTATATTTGTTATGGTGATCTGTGATCAATGATCTTTGATGGTACTATTGTCATTATTCTGGGGCACCACGGATAACATGTCCATATAAGACAGTGAACTTAATCCACAGATGTTGTGTGTGTTATGAATGCTCCACTGACCAGCGATTCCCCCGTTTCTCTCCCTCTCCTCCTGCCTCTCTATTCCCTGAGGCATAACACGATTGAAATTAGGCCCATTAATAACCCTACAGTGGCCTCTAAGTGTCCAAGGAAAAGGAAAAATCACACGCCACTCATTTTAAATCAAAAGCTAGAAACGATTCAGCGTAGTGAGGAAGGCACGTTGAAAGCTCAGAGGGGCTAAAACCTGGGCCCCTTGTGCCAAACATTTAGCCACATCGTGGACACAAAGCAAGAGATCTTGAAGGAAATGACAAGTGCTACTCCAGGGAACACATGAATGATAAGGAAAGAAAACAACCTTCTTGCTGATCTGGAGAAAATATGCGTGGTCTGGATGGAAGGTCAAACCTGGCACAACACTCCCTGAAGCCAGAGCCGAACCCAGAGCAAGGCCCTAACTCCCTTCCATTCTGTGAAAGCTGAATGGTGAGGTGAGGAGGCTGCAGAAGGAATGTCTGAAACTAGCGGAGGTTGGTTCATGAGGTTTAAGGAAAGAAGCCATCTCCATAACACAGAAGTGCAAGGTGAAGCAGCAGGTGCTCATGTAGAAGCTGCAGCAGGTTCTCCAGAAGACCCAGCTAAGCTCATCCATGAAGGTGGCTACATCAGACAATGATTTTCAGGGTTGATGTAAGAACCTACTATCGGAGGACTTTCATAGCTACAGAGGAAAAGTCAATGCCTGGCTTCAAAGCTTCAAAGGATAGGCTGACTCTCTTGTGAGGGGCTAATGCAGCTGGTGTCTCTGAGTGGAAGCCACTTACCATTCTGAAAATCCTAGGGCCCTGAAGCATGATCCTAAATCTACTCCGCCCGTGCTCTGTAAACAAAACCTGGGTGACATCACATCTGTTTACATCACAGTTTACTGAAGATCTTAAGCCCACTGTTGAGACCTGCTGCTCAGAAAAAAAAGAGATGCCTTTCAGAATATCACTGCTCATTGGCAGTGCACCTGGTCATCCAGGAGCTTGGATGGCGTGGAGATGTTCGAGATTAATGTTGTTTTCATGCCTGCTAACACAGCATCCATTCTGCCGCCCAGGGACCAAGGAGTCATTTCAACTTTCAGGCCTTATTATTTAAGAAATATATTTGAAAGGCTCGAGCTGCCGTAGATAGTGCGTCCTCTGATGGGTCTGGGCAAAGTAAATTGGAAAGCTTCTGGAAAGGGTTAACCATTCTAGAGAACACTAAGAACATTCCTGATTCACGGGAGAGGTCAAAATAGCAATGTTAACAGAGTGTGGAAGAGGTCGACCCAACCTTCATGGAGGACTTGGAGGGGTTCAAGACTTCGGTGGAGGAAGGAGCTGCAGATGGGGTGGGAACAGCAAGAGAATTAGAATTAGACGTGGAGCCTGAAGATGGGACTGAATTGCTAGAAACTCGTGATAAAACTTGAACCGATGAGGCGTTGCTTCTCGTGGATGAGCAGAGAAAGTGGTGTCTGGAGATGGAATCTACTCCTGGTGAGGATGCTGTGAAGACTGTTTACATGACGACAAAGCATTCAGAACATTCCATACACTTAGTCGATAAAGCAGCAGCAAGGTTTGAGAGGATGGACTCCAATTTTGAAAGAAGTTCTGCAGTGGGTAAAATGCTATCCTGCACCATCGCCTTACCCTGCTCTTATAGCTGTGCCTCAGGCAGAGTCTGTCCTCGGCATCCCCAGGCACCCTGGCCAGAGCCTAGCCCCCCTACCTTCCTTTTCCCCTTCCAAGTCCTCAGGCTTGGCCCAGCACAGCTCAGAGCAGCGGTGCCTGCACCAAGGACAGTGATGTGGCAGGAGGCAAGGAGGGACCATAAGCTCCTTGTCTATCTTCTTTAAGTCTGCATCCCTGGGGCTGGCACACAGTTGGTGCCCAATAAATGTTTGTTGAGGGGGGCACCTGGGTGGCTCTGTCGGTTAAGTGTCCGATGAGATTTTTGGCTCAGGTCATGATCTCAGGGTCATGAGATCAAGCCCTGCATTGGGTTTCTGGGTGCGGAGCCTACTTGAGATTCTCTCTCTCCCTCTCCCTCTTCCCCTCCCCCCGCAA